TTTCGGTGTCTTGCTTCCTTTCAATTTTCTCTCTGTCGAGCCATTGAGCATGGCTCTGTTGGATGGTACAGCATGCTACTTTACTTTACTTTCATGTATTTTGAGATATTCACCTTAAGAGCATGTGAAGGATAAAATATGGGCATATTCTAGGGGCTAGACTTAGTTACTTGCTTACAGTAGTGAAGCTATGACATGTTTATGTTTATTGTAGCACATTTATGTTGGAAGCAATTAAGGGAGTTAAAACACGGCTTTGGAATAATGTTGCTCCTCTTGCAGGCATGTTGGGATATGTATTATGAAGTTTTTCATCTATTTTCATTTAGCATGAGATATTGGAGTGTTTATTTGGCCTTTCATGAATGCTAGAGAGTTCACTTTACTTTTTTATACATATATGGGGGCTCGGTTTAGCTCCTGCGGCTTTCCCTTACTTGAAATGCATGCCATGAGAAAATTTATTTAATTTGGAAAGCTCTGTAACTTGTTTTGAGGGCTTGGTTTAACTCCTCGTGAGGCATCTCCCCTGCTCAAGAATCTGTTGGAATTGTTTCATGCTTGGAATATTTAGACATGCAGGTTGATCCTTGGCTTTGGAAATATTTAGACATGCATGTTGTTCCTTGGCTTTGGATGACTCGTTTTTACCTTAAGGTGGCTGGAACTTTAATTTCTGTTAAAGCCTGAATTTGTATCAATGTTTGGGTCCTGTTTTAGCCTTGCTGGGCTCGGTTTTGGCTTGGTTTGGAGGCTTGGTTTTATCTTGAAATGGCTAGAACTTTAATTTTTATTGGAGCTTGGATTTTAATCTATGTTGGGCTCGATCTGGGCTCGGTTTTTGGCCCTTGTTGGGCTTGGTTTTGACATCATGTGGGTGTTTTGGCTTAAATATACATATGGTGAAGAAATTTATTTTCGATTTGGAGGAACTCCACGGCTGTTCTTGTTTAAAACATATGATAGTTCTATATTTTGATGTCTTGAGGGCATGGAGATTTTTTTTTA